CTAAGATGACACCAGAATTTCGCTGCAAATAGTTGCGGTAGAACGAAGGCATAGGTTGCAACAGACCTCACTTAGGATAGGCATCGTGTCCAGCGTTTGCTACCTAGCAGAGCACGTACGCGACAGGAGCCAAGAAATCTATAAATACGTCTTCTCCCTCCAGCAATTTGTTCTACAATTCTATCACTTGGCTACCCAAAGTCCAGCAGGCCTTGCGTTTTGAGGCACCTGATAAGTTCTTCCCTTTGACCTACTGGAATTTCCACTATACTGACATCTATCGATACATCCTGGGCCGACAAGCTAGAAAGTGCTTACGAGAGAGTGATTCCCACCAGGTCCACTATGTCACCCATGCCAGCCGATCAAGAAGCAGATTGGGGTTAGCTGGTCAAAGTATCTATGCGAACATCTGTCTACCATAGCAACTGACTACTGTCCCGTCCCTGAATATCCCTGAGGCAAAACAGCGGGTTAAAAGTTATGTAAGTCTCAGCACGATACAGTACTGTCTAAAATTCAATTGACTTCAAAGATGATGCAAAACATCCAGGTCGGGGCAGTCCGTCCAATGCACGCGCAAAGCCGCGGAGCCCTTTCCGTGTCTTCTTTCAGAACATGTGTCATGCATTGCCCCGCCGATCGACAAGCTAACGATGGACAGGAAACCGTTGACAGCGCACCAGAGTGAGTCCGAACCAGCACTCCGTCAGTGCTCCGCGCAGGGTCATGGCTTACACACCTTTCTGGCCCTGTCACTTCAAACCATGCAGCACGTCCTATGTGAAATACTACAAGCCAAGGCCGCGGGCCAAGAACAGGACGCATAAGCTCGAGACCTTTGTTCTTTATGGTAAGGTGAGTGGAATATCGTGGCTCTTGCTGCGCCGGGTCCGATGATTTGTGCCAAGTCTGTGCCCCAGACACGAACACTACTGACATCTCTATGCCGTTGTAGGAGCTGCCCATTGCCCGAAAACTCTTGTGGCAAGTTACCTATTACCGCTGAGTTAGACAAGACCAAGGGGCGGACGCGCCATCGCGTCTTCCCCTCACCGCCTTCACACACTGAACGGCAGAGCCTCAACCTCTCGCTCTCTGCACGAAGCGGTCTCCCTATACAACTGTACAATTTCTTGTCACGCGTGGGTTCGTCATGCGCCTTAGGCGTCTTGTGAACTTTGTGGGTTCATCCAGCGCGGCTTCTCGAAGCGACAGCCGGAGAGTGCGACGAACCTGGATACAACATGGCATATTGGTGACTGCATTGCAGAAGAGAATTGGCAGTAATCTAGTTGGTAAGCTGGTATGATCACGATTCTTGTTTATCATCTGCTTCAACCGTACACTCGGGGAATTCTTCATGAACAACGTAAAGCACGACACCTCGTCCAACTGGATCAACACTTGCTGACTCGGATCTCACAACAGGAGACACCCTCAGATTCTCACACACGAATGCGAAGCGAGCAAATGTCTTGTCTGCTCAACCTCCCCCTGCACCAACACCATCGCATGCTCTGTTTCTTCCTCATGACTACCGGTGGCATCGACGAGTCTCTACCTCGACCTTCTCCCAGTCGATTTGGTTCATCAGATCACGCGTTGGTATGCCTACCTGATGCAAGACCCAACAGAGCTCATAGCAGTGTCTGTCTCTCGGCATTTGAACACCTACATGGGATAGCCTACTTGCGGCTTGGATCCCCGGCATCCAGTAAGTGACCATCGTTGTCCTTGGATGGCGTCTAGCGTCTCTCGAGCCTGAAAATCTGAAGCCACCGGGAGGAGCCGATGTTTCGTCTTGCTAGAGCCGTATTTTCGTACACGGCGAGGTTGTTCGTCGAGTTTGCTTGCAAAGAGAATGTGAGGCGAAAGGCCCGTCATCTCTAGCCGAATCAACTAACAATAGCCATGTCAGCTTCGAATCGATGGACAAGACCGAAGATGGCCAAACGAAAGAGAGAACTCATGACCCAAGAACCTCGTCTGATAGAGTCCCCCTGATCCCTCTTACTCTCCGCGTTGCTGAGCTTGTCGACATATGCGAGCGAGCGGGAACAAGTCGTTCGGACATACACGGAGCTGCATGCTATCAGATGTGTCTGTCTCGTCCCTGTCGGACCGAAGGTTGGCTGATTTGATTCCTAAGCCTGCGTTTTTCGGTCCAAGCCCGAGTCTATGTACAAAGCCCATACACCTTGAATGTCACAGCAGCTGGAGGTCAGTCAAGCTATCCAATATCCTTTGTCCATTGAGACCGTCTTCTAACATCTCGCAATTGGCGGCGCAAGCAGGTCTTGTCAGCAAATCACAGACTGCTCTACCTCCCGAGCGCATTGTCCTTTGAGCATCGATGATGTATTTGTCACCGCGCCCAGGACGATATCCGGCATATTACTGTTTAAGCAATTCATCGTGACGGTGGGTTTGATATCTGTAACAACACCATAAGAGCCATCGGGTTGTACGACCTCTGACTATCCCGTACAGCCAATACTTTATTTTCTACCCGTAATAAACCCTTATGCCATATTTGCTTGAGGACGAATTTCAGCAGACGCCCTAGGGCCGGATGTGGATTAGAGCACCCTTGTGCGAATACCACCTGGTCCTGAGCGGCGATCGTGGAGAGTGTCTTTACCAGTTCTGGTTCTAGATGGCTAGTTGGACTCCGATCGCACTTAAACTATATCAGCAGCAGAGCATGCTGTGTCGCATGACTCAGGAATACGTCCACAAATAGTAATGCCCGTCGCTTTAATCGCCGGACTGGACTTCTTCGAGAGATTGGTTGGACTATGAATGGTAAGTTACTGACGGGATATTATTCACAAAGATGCGACGGCTCTTACATGTAGAAGGAGCGGATCATATATTCCCGAGCGAAAGCTCCCAATGACATGTTGACCTCGAGCGAAAGCAACTCTCACTCTAGAATGTAGGCATTTTATCATAAGGTACGTTCGAGCGACACGCAATATTCATGTGGAGAAACAGCTCTGACTACACAAGGAATAGAGCCTATCGTACCATAATGTTTGCCCGCGATTCGTGTTTTCGAGCGAGACCTCATCACATGGCTCTACCCTCCGTAGTTCTGTTGAGCGTACAGTATATTGCGTGATCATAGTTGAGCAACTTGTAGATTAAATCATCTCAACTGAGTTGGAGGCTGTACGTCAAGCGTGACCAACAGGGATGGAAACTGCCTTGCGGAAGCAAAAAAATGCAAGTGAAGTTTCTATAATGTGGGTGACATGGCAAGAACCGCGCTGCCTCCATGCAAAAAAATGCAAGTGAAGTTTCTATAATGTGGGTGACATGGCAAGAACCGCGCTGCCTCCATAAAACGTTGACCACCCCTCCTTCACCGCCCGACTATTCGCTACAACTGTGATGCTTCGCTACACATTTGACCACATCGACATCAACACCCATCAAAACATCAACACATCAACACATCAACACATCAACACATCAACACATCAACACATCAACATCAACACATCAACACATCAACACATCAACACATCAACACATCAACACATCAACACATCAACACATCAACACATCAACACATCAACACATCAACACATCAACACATCAACTCTCAACTCTCACCAACTCTCACCAACTCTCACCAACTCTCACCAACTCTCACCAACTCTCAACTCTCGTCTCTCAACTCTCAACTCTCGTCTCTCAAGTCTCAACTCTCATCACAACATACATTCCATCAAAACAAGCATCCCCGCACAACATCTCTGTTTACTCTACACCTGGATGAAAGATGCCATTTCCATTGCAGCGAAGGGATTATCGGACCGCGGAAAAGCCAGAAAGAGTGGAAATACGGGTCGCTAACGAGGGAAGCCCAGTTTGAATCTTACGACTTGGTGTTTGAATTTGGGATAATCTATATTCATTCTATCTATCCAATGATGCTTCTTCGGAATACGAAACGAACGATGAAGACAATGCACAGGTCTTTGCTTCATCGAATACTCTTGTAATACTCGACTACTGGTCCCCAGCACCACGGAGAGGTGCCTGCACATTGCTAGGGAGCCATAGCAAGTCATTGGCGAGCCAAGTTTTGCATGACTGAGCACAATTTTACAGTCACAGGGCTCATTGGCTGTGAGGGAGCACATTTTTACAGTCACAGGGCTCATTGGCTGTGAGGGAGCGCAAATCTTACATCGCTGGGCTCGTGGCAGCGACAGCCGTGGTCACGGAAGGTCTGGAGTTCTTGGTTTCGCAGAGCCCATCCTGCGAGGCACACTTGTTGACGCAGAGCCCATCCTGCGAAGCACACTTGTTGACGCAGAGCCTATCCTGCGAGGCATACTTGTTGACGCAGAGCCCATCCTGCGAGGATTGTTGTTCACGCAGACCTATCCTGCGAAGCACCTTTTTACATACACAGGGCTCATTGGCTGTGAGGGAGCGCAAATCTTACGTCGCTGGGCTCGTGGCAGCGACAGCCGTGGTCACGGAAGCTCTGAAGTCCTTGGTTGCGCAGCTCTTCCCTGCGGAGGTCCTTGTTTTCGCAGCGCTCCCCTGCGGAGGTCCTTGGTTGCGCAGCTCTTCCCTGCGGAGGTCCTTGGTTGCGCAGCGCTCCCCTGCGAAGATCCTTGGTTGCGCAGCTCTTCCCTGCGGAGGTCCTTGGTTGCGCAGCGCTCCCCTGCGGAGGTCCTTGGTTGCGCAGCGCTCCCCTGCGAAGATCCTTGGTTGCGCAGCTCTTCCCTGCGGAGGTCCTTGGTTGCGCAGCTCTTCCCTGCGAAGATCCTTGGTTGCGCAGCTCTTCCCTGCGGAGGTCCTTGGTTGCGCAGCGCTCCCCTGCGGAGGTCCTTGTTTTCGCAGCGCTCCCCTGCGGAGGTCCCTGTTTTCGCAGCGCTCCCCTGCGGAGTTCCTTGTTCTCGCAGTGCTCCCCTGCGGAGTTACTTGTTTTCGCAGCGCTCCCCTGCGGAGTTCCTTGTTTTCGCAGTGCTCCCCTGCGGAGTTCCTTGTTCACGCAGTGCTCCCCTGCGAGGATTGTTGTTGACGCAGACCTATCCTGCGAAGCACCTTTTTACGCTCGCGGGGCTCATGGCAGCGAGGGAGCACAGTCTTACATCGCTGGGCTCGTGGCAGCGACAGCCGTGGTCACGGAAGCTCTCAAGCCCGCAGGCAAGAGAGGGACACTATGATGCATCAAAGTCTGAGGACCAAAGTGTGAGGATGGAAGTCCTGCGAATTTTGGGCTGGGAATCCGGCCCCTTTTATAATTTTTCGGTCAAGTCTCTACCAAGGAACCATTGCGCCGAGGGTAGCGAGAATCACTGTCCTTTGATTGGCGTTGAAGCACGTTGAACAACGTTGAAATGGTGTTTGAAGAATTTGTGGCCTATAGACTCAAGTTTCGACCTGGGATCATTTCTCTCAAATCTTGCGTTGAGTATGGTGAACCACTTTCATCAACTGTTG